AGGTTAGGGTCAAAGAAACTAGATTCAAATTCCAGCTGCTAAGTATTTGCCACTCACTTGCTCTCCGTTTCACATTGTTAAAAATAACTATCTCAGAGGTAGGCATGATGGCACATGCCTATAACCCAATCACTTTGGAAGGCTGATGGGGCTGGGGATTTAGCTCAGTGGCACCACTGCCTGTCTCACAAGAGCAAGAACCCAAGTTCGATCTCTGGTACCAAAAAAAACAAACAAGATTCTTGGAAGGCTGAGACAGGAGAATACCAAGTTCATGTCCCATCGGGACAATTTAATGAGACCCTATCTCAAAATAAAGAGCTTTTTCAAAGGAGGCTAAGGGTACAGTTCAGTGGCTGAGCACCCATGGGTTTGATATCCAATACCATAAAAGAAAAACTATTGGGCCAGGGATTTAGCTCAGCAGTTTGGTGGCCTGTCTTGCAAGCACAAGGACCTGAGTTCAATCCCCGGTACCAAAAAAAAAATAAATTAAACTATTTCTAAATACTATCATGAGAAGTAAACAAAATGGCATATTGAAAGCACTTAGTACAATCTCTATATTTAGGGATGCTCATTAAAAGAGAATTCCTTCATCTTAATCTTCCACTCCAGAATTTGTTCAAGTCCTTCTACTTTCTCTTCTAGCACTGGTATAAACTTTAGCCTTTTCCCTTACCTTCACGATGGCTCTGCCCCTTTTGTCCTAGCAGCCACAGATTTTACAAGATAGCCTTATTTCTGGAAGCCACAGACACTTTCAGTCATGATCTAAGTATGTGGTCCCAAGAAACTAAAACCACCTTCTAGTCTCCTTCTCCTCCACCCACCTTCCCAGTCCTCCCTGCTGCCTACTCAGCCTGTATCTCCCTCTCACTCAGCTGCTCCCAGGGCTGTGGCTACCTCAGCATCCACTGTTGACAATGCTTCTCAACTTAAGAGAGATTGGCCTCAAAAAGTAAAAGGTTGAACATTAGTCTGAAAAGAATTGGCTAATGTCCTTCAAAAGTGGCAAGGTTATACAAAAGAAAGAACAAGAACGGTCACAGACTCAAAAACTAAAAACTAACTATAAGATCTTGAGTAGACCTGTGGCCCAGAAAAAAGACATTAGTCAAAAAAACTACAGAGTAAATTAAATCTACAGATTGGTTAATACTGTATCAATGTCAATTTTGTAGTTTTAATAATTATATTACACTGAATATACTGTTAATATGAATGGATGGGTAGATGGGAACCCTCCAACTCTCTATGCTATTTTTGTAATTTTTCGTTAAGTCTAATATTATTTCAAAAAAAAGTTAAAATGCTTATAATGTGATTATTTGGAACTACATTATAAAAGAGCTTCTGCCCCAGTGGACTTCTTAAATGATATATTATTGTGAAAGAGTGCTACTTACATTAAGCCTATTGCAGTAAGGCCATCACACAGGTTAATGAAAAGTCAATTCCAAGGTATAGAAAATCCACCTTAATCACTACTATTAGTTTGCAAATCCACTAAGACAGTATGAGGCCACCTACATACACTCAGGAATACTGAGGACTTAATTACAGCAAATCATATTTTGTATGAGCTGTAATTTTATTAAATAAACATAGCTTTTGAATTAACATTATTGAATAACACACTTAAACAATACCTCCCTTGGAACCAACTTTTTACAGAAGGAAAGAGGAAAAGACATGCAAAGAACCCTATTCCAATAGGTACCGGCTTCCCTCCCTCGACCCGCAACGCCTTAAGTAACAGCATTAATCAACAAGCTACAAACAAAATCCCAGCAATAGAAGAGATAATCTCTGCTGCTACAACATGTATTTTATAATCAATTGAGTCATAGATAATTGGTAAATGGAGAACAGATTTCAGTATGACATGGAACGTGCATTGTTTCATATGCGATTTTTCCTCTACATTATTAATGTTTTTCCTAACAGCAACTGAAAGCCCAGGACACAAGGAGCAGCAAGCCACAAAGAAATTCACATTATACATTCAATCCTTCTTTTAGAAGTAACTATTACAAGGGCAGGGGATTTAGCTCCGTTGTTCTGCCACCTGCTTCGCAAGCACAAGGTCAAGTTCAATCCCCGGTACCAAAAAAAAAAAGTAACTACTACAAGGTTAATACTGATCTTTCTTTTCCTATATTACTTATCTTTGTGTAAAAAAAATCATACATAGTATTAAAAATAAATAAATTGTATATATTCAGTAAAAAATAAATAAATAAAAGCAACATAAAACAATAAAGAGAACATATACTTCTACTATCAATGTATTTTGTTCAAAGCCTACATCCTTTTCTGTACTTGCAACTCACTGCTAGTATCCATCCCCCTACCCTTGTATCCACAGACAGCCTCACCTGACCTGTGTCACCAATCATCAGGCTACCTGTACCCTTTTCAGTATCTTTGTCCTAAATACCTAACACAAAAAAGGTGACTGTAGTTCACCTACTGCAATTTATTCATTAGAAATTGTATGTCTTCCATGTTATGTATTTTTCCTGTGATTATTAATGTTCTAGTTACAAAGTTGCATCAACTCTACTAATTTAAGTATGAATTTGCAAACTGAAATTTTTCCAGAAATGTATACATAATGTTACCATAAAGATGCTATATTTCTGCCCATTTTGAAGACATAAAATTCTGTCCTGCAATGTTATTAAATATTAAATTATACTTCCAAAGATTACTTATACACCAATAAAATGTTTTATTAATATCAATTTATAAAGACAAATATTTTATGTTATCTTTAAATTGAACATTCAGATAAGTATTTCTATATTCATCCCAGATTTCTTAAATAGGTAGGATGTTCAAAATTAGCATTAACCAGACTTATGCTTTTTGTAAGAAAATAAAACATTCAGTTTTGTTTGACACAGAGAAAATGTGTGCATAAGAATTTATCAAACAAATATCAATCTTTTAATATGATGTAGTCTAAGGGTTGGGGATTTAGCTCAGTAGCACAGTGACTGCCTTGCAAGCACAAGGTCCTGAGTTCAGTCCCCAGTACCAGGGGCGGGGGACACTCTAGAAGAGTATATAAAGCAAAAATGGTAATAAAATTTGTCTATGGACATAAAATGATGTAATCTACAGTTTGTATAAAACCATAAATATGTCCAGAAAGCACTCTCATCCTAAAATCACATATGTACTCTCAAGATTATATATATATGGACTTTATAGCATTATTTTAGGGTAACAAAGAATTTGTCAGATCTTCTAAAAGAAACAATATTGTTTAGTGATTACTTGTTAAATGTTGTACCAACACTAAAGCATTCTTTTATGTAAACAAATCCTGCTAGTAACAGCACTATGAAAGAAAGTATCTACTTTTTGTACATGACAACACAACATATAATTGACTTATTAAAAATATGGTTCACCTGGGGTAGTTATCAGCTGTTACAACTCTGAGTGCGTTTTAAAAATTAATTCCTGTAATAAACATAAATTGCTTTATTATTCACCCATAAAAATAGTGTTCTCTTTTCAACATAGTCCATGATATGCTAGGATATTTTTATAGACCTTTGTAGCACCAAGTTTCAAAGAGCCTTTTCATACTTTCCAATTACCTATTCAAATGCACTTGCTTAGAGACAGTCATCGTGTTTGCCATGGGGGAAAAAAATACTGCACAATTGTCTGCATGTAGTGTGACCTCTTTCACATGGGTGGGCATCTGCTCCATCACCGACTAAGTGAAGATATAACCTTGTCAAACCAAAGGCAAAAGAATAATAAGCACACAACAGGATTACCTAGAATGGGAAAGGGTTTTAAGGAGGTTGCGCAAATAGTACTCTGAATGACAAAATAAAAGAACACTCCAAAGAGTAGGTTAACATTGAGGAAAGCACTCAAAAGCTGAGAAGCATTTAATCCCTATCCCTGGAAGTCTGCCACACAAAACTCCACTCAAATATATTTAATTCAGTAGCTACTAACCAGATTTGGTTAATATGTTTTCAAATGATTCCTGGTAGAACAGTCTTGAAGGAGATACACTTAAAAAGCATCCACTTCTTCAAAGTGTTAGCCAAAGGTGAACAAAAAGTAGATACTGCCTTGTTTCCACCAATTATAAATCAGCACCCAACAAGAAAAAATCACTGACATTCAACAATAAGAAATACAAATTGAAAAAGTCTTCAATCAATAGTAGGCTTTCCTACCACTACAACAAACAACAGTAATACTGCTACGTTAGCTGCTACCCCAGTCCACTGACTGCCACAGCAGGGCACTTTTATTAACAGTTGAAACTAGAAAAAAAATTAAGCAAGTTCTGTTTCAGTCTTCTCAGTGTAAATTCACTTTTAAAACAAACTAAATCTCAAATCTAAACCATTCAAGCATGTACTAGGCCTGTGTATTTTATCATCGTGTCAATTATGCACACTTTGACATTCTTTTTTTACAAAAGACAAGAATTAAATTTTTGTTCCTGACCAGTAACAATATTTTAACAGAGAAACAGCGCCACCTTTTGGTCCCCAAAAAAATCCTCCAGTACCAATCTCCCAAACTTCCTCTCATAAACTTCTGAGATACATAAATGCTACTGAATTTAGTATCATAATTATCTAAAAATGTTGGCTTCAAAACTAAGAAAACATTAAGGTGAAATGAAAGTTGCTTACTAAGATGCAACACTTGAAACTATTACAAAGTAATACCAAACACATGCATTTTAGATCATCAGTATAATGATTACTAATCAATATTTTAATAAGCGTATTTTACCAGAACCAAGTATGTCAATCAACTGTTATATCTTAACTGCACAAGAAGGGCTTTTTATAGGTTGTCACAGTTCAAAACTGATTTTTTTAAAACAAACGTTATATTTAATTTGTATTCCTTAATTTCATAATTTGCCATAAAATATTACCAGTGGATTAACAGTTAAATCAGCAAAGATGCAACCCAAATATGGTATGACTTTAATTACTTACACCAATGATACAATGTCACCACGTTGAACTTGAAAATTCCTTGCTTTCCAGTGGTTCAAAAGTACCACATCTGACGATTGGCTTCCCCCAGGATTCAAAGAAGGCTGAAAAACAAGAATAGACACATTTATCATTTGTATTTTTCAATCTTCATGGTTCCTTGCACTTCATAGCTTGAGTGGAGTGCAATAAAACATTTCTAATATAGAACCTTTCAATAAATTGCTGTTCTAAAATAACTGCAAATGATGAGTTTTCAAAAAGGCTCACTAGGATTCCTCATACATGAACCAGAAAAAAACAAGTTACCAATACTTATTTGAAAGGAAAGTGTGATGGATATTAAATCTTTATAAAACTTTAGTAAAGAAGTATGGAAAGCTTTCTAAAGGATTAAACACATGTGGCAAAAAAAGACTCAACCCTCCCAAAAGAATATCCAGAAAGGATCTACCTCCACAGCAGAACACACCATTGTTTCATTCAGGGAAAATAGGCAATCATTTCTAATCAGCCAGTAAAACACTAAAAAAAATAATAATAACTAGAGAGAACAGATACAGGGAAAGGATAATCATTAAAAGTGCAGAGATTCCCCCACCTTTTTTCCCAGTTTAAGCCTAAAAGTAGCATTCATTCTAAGAATCATATGAGTTTAGCTGAGTTTATCAATGGATGGTGGAAGAATTGAGAAGCATTAGGCATAAGAATTCATCCAAAAGAAATGAGAGACCTCTACAATGCAAAGTACAGCACCGTGAAAATGGAGATCAAAAACACCAGAAAATGGAAAGTCATCCCATTTTTGGCTAGAGAGAACCAATGTAGTCAAAGTGACCATACTTTGAAAATCCATGCATAGTTTTCATATAATTCTAATCAAAACAGCAAAAGCATTCTTCACAAATTTAGAGAAAACTATCCTAAAATTCATATGGAACCAGAAGATATCAAGAATAGCAAAAGCAATCCTGGGTAACAAGACCAAAGTAGGAGGCATCACAATGTCAGATTTGAAGTTATATTACAAAACTACAGTGATAAAAACAGCACAGCACTACAGTAGCACAAAAACAGACAGGAAAAAAAGGAACCAGGAAAAAAAAAAAAACAGAAACAGTCATCAATTTGATCTCTGACAATAGGGCCAAAAAACATGCAGTGAAAAAATAAAGCCTCTTTAATAAATGATGCAGGGAAAACTGAATATCCACATGCAGAAGAATGAGGCTAGACATATTTTTCTCACCATGTACCAAACTAATATCAACATGGATGTAAACGTTAAAATAGAAATAATCTGTTGGAGGATAAAATAGGTAAAATTCTTGAAGAAACAGGTATAGGCAAGGACCTTCTAAACCAAACTCTAATGGCACAAGAAATAGTACCAAGAATCAACAAACGGGACTACATCAAATTAAAACACATCAGCATAGTAAAAGAAACAAACAACAGAGTAAGGAGACAACCCACAAAATGGAAAAAAAATCTTGCCATCTACTCCTTAGAGGACTAAGATCTAAAATATATAAAGAACTAAAAAAGTAAAGAATGAGAAAATAGATTCATTCATAGGAAAATGGATACATTTTGAGGATATATGCCTAAGTGAAATAAATAAGTCACACATGCATAAATACTGAACAGTTTCTCTGGTGTGAAAATCTATAATAGTACACAAGATCCTAATGAGATAATTATCAACGTGAAATAGGAAGGGGCTAAAGGTGTAGGGAAAGTGGGAAGGGTAAGGGAAAGGCAATAAGGGAAAAGGAAAAAGTATGGAAAAATGAAAAAATGGAAATAAAGTGTTTGTAAATGGGGAAGGGAGAAGGGGGTGAAGGGAGGGCAGGGACAAGGGGAAAACATGAGAACCAAGACCTGTCATGTAAAGGTACAAGATCCCAATAATGAATGTAACTGTACTGTATGCCTAAAATGTACCAATAAACTCAATAAAAAGAAAATAAATTTTTTAAAAGAACTAAAAAAAAAGGGCTCCTCAAAATAAATAAAAGACCCAATCAAAAACTAGCAAGTGAAATGAATAGACACTTCTCAGGAGAATTAAAAACAGCCAATGAATACATGAAAACATATTCAATATCACTGACCATTAAAAACTGAAAATTTAGAAAACACTGACTTTCCATCCTACTTAAGAAAGAATGTCTAGGGCCGGGGATTTAGCTCAGCAGTTTGGTGGCCTGCCTTGCAAGCACAAGGACCCGAGTTCAATCCCCGGTACCAAAAAAAAGAAAGAAAGAATGTCTATCAATACGAAATCAAATGGTAACAAATGCTGGTGAAGTTGAAAGGAAAAGGAACATTTCTGCATTGCTGGTGGAAATGTAAACTAGTATAACCACTATGAAAATCAGTATTCCTCAAAAACACTATAACTGCATTTGAAAATGCATTTGACCTAGCTAATCCCTTTATAAGTATCTTCCCAAAAGACTTAAAGACATGATATTACAGAAATACATACATACCCATGTTTATAGAAGCATAATTCATACTATCTAAATCTTGGAAACAGCCCAAATTCCCATCAAAAGATAAATGGATAAGGAAAGTGTGGTATTTAAACACAGTAAGAGTACTACAGTACTACCCTCCCATAAAGAATGATAAGCTTAAAAAAAAAGAAGGAAAAAAGAGAAGGATGAGCTTGAGTCATTCATAAGAAAATGGACGCACCTTGAGACTATAATGTTAAATAAATCAGATACACAAGCTTAAATGTCACATGATTTCTCTTATATGAAAAACCCAAAATATAAATAAAAGGAGAAAAATAAAAGATAGATAATAGGAAGTAGGGTAATAGGAAGGGGATCCAGAGATGATTTTTTTACCCATGAAAAAAATCAGTGAAAACTAAAATGGAAAGGAGAGATGAAAGGAGTAGGGAAAGAAAGGAAAGGGAGAGAATGTAAAAAGAACTAAGACACAGTACTTTTTTTATATACTTTTCCTGTTAAGTGCTCATTGTTTAATATAATAAAACTGATAAAATTAAAATTAATAATAATCAATAGAAAATTCTAAAGAATAAACATGGGTATTATACACCCACCACAATGCATCTTTAACACCAAATTTGCTTTATGCCCCGGGGGCTGCAGTTTGTCTTCAACATAACAATCAAGACGACACAATTACAGGACCCTCTTAATCCCCACTGGTTTCCACCAGTTGAACTCAACCACGAGTAATACCACACACTCACAGTGTATTTTCTCAAGGAGTCGTATAAGCAAATGTTTCTGCCTGCAATGTTTCCCCCTCTTTCTACCTTCGTTTCACGTGGTTAGCTCACTTTAAAACAAAACTTGAACTCCATGGAGCAATTTCATATGAATTCTTCCCTAATATTCATCTTCTCTCTTCCTATGCCTACCTTTAGTAACAGATGATCAAAAATTCCCAAGTTCCCCATATGCTCTGGTTCAATCATAACATATTCAAATGTGCATTATAATTACCCCTGTCTCTTTTACCCAGAGTCTATAAGCACCTAGGAAGATTTTTTCTTATGTCTGTATTTTTGAGACCTGGTCACTTTGAAGGTGATTCATAGATTTTAGTAGAAAGAATCAGAAAATCAAAGCATGACGGTTTCTCCAAAGTACAAATAAAGATCAAAATTAAAGATGATAGGAAATAGGGAGGTACACTTTTTACAGGAAGAGGACCTAGGACTAGAAGAGAGGGAAGGGAGGCAAAGAGGAAGCAAACAGTGTATATAGCGTTAGGTATATGTAAGTACTCCCCACGATGAATGTATTCACTACATACTACAAATACATATTAATAAAAAATCTGAAAAAATTAATACATGAAACTCCCAAGGACTCCCCAAATTCACCTTCTTAGAACAGATCTTACTCCACCTGCCCCCAGGCCCAAATATGCTTCTATTTTCCCATCCTTAGCTAACATTAACTAGTATCCTGTACACTGGAATACACTGGATCCAGCTTCATTTTCTAACTTTCTCTTTTGTGTCTCTCACATCAGACTTCTCTGTCTGCCCAGGATGCCTCTTTCCCACTTGGAAAGCCACTTATCTTTCAGACCCCAGCTCAGACTGTAACTCTTCTATGAAGGCTTTCAAAAAAAAAAACATTATGACGACGATGACGATAACAAAAAGTGTAAAAGTAACCATCGTTTCCTTGTGAAAATTAGGAAATTGCATCCCAGTGCTCCAAGACTGGGAAGAGAAGAAATTCCACAGACCCAAATCTTGCTGTTTAGAACTACCTTTCCCTATCTAATCATTCTTCTTTTTAATTTTCCCAAACCTAAGAGTTAAAAACAAAAGGTAAGGCAATGTAAACAACAGATTTATGCAGGGAGGAGATGCCAGAAGGAAGCCTGTCTAACCTTAAATAGTAAAGTACTAAAATCATCAGTTAATACGCAGAAGACCTTTTTGATTTTACAAAGGAGGCCAAAGAGTTTTCTTTTACCTTTCTTCTCCTCCACAAGGTAATTAATTATATTTCATCTGTACTCCCATAGCAATTTTGCTGAACTTCAATGATAGCACATAATAGGTATCTGCCTACAGATACTACTGTTTCACTCAAGCGTAAGCTTCCTATGACCTACCCATTTTTGTATGCTTAATCCCAACAGAGTTTCTATAAAATATTATTTCTTTATTTGAAAATTTAAAAGGTTAAAGGACCTTAGAAGAATGTCTAAGTAATATACTTTCTAAACAATGTTCATTATCTAAACAATGAATACATTTCTTTCACTGAAAATATATCCTAGATAACTAAGCATGACAAGAAACGTTCTGTATCAAGTTAAATAACATAAGCATTAGGAAAAAGTTTAACAGTGCTTTAGTATTACCCATAATAAAATAATGCTAATCACAACAAAATAATCATATCATACCTATATTATTCATTTATGAGTATACCACTTATGAAGATGAAAAACACATCATAAAGAAAAACCTTGAATTGGGAAACCATTTCTACAGCATAATAAAAACCAGAGTTCTTCGTATTCCAATATTAAGTTTTATTAAAAGAAAAAAAATATTTTCTTTCTGATTTTAGTAAAACTACTTTTA